AGTTTATGTAATTGGTTCATTAATTTTACGAAATAAAATATATAATATAACGAGTTTGCCATTTATAGCGAATTCAATTATCATCAAAGCGGCGGCTGGGTTAGACCGCAGACCGAGGCCAATGAAGCCGCCAGCAGGCACCAACCATGAAAGAACAGTGTTGCCAATAATAATGCGAAATTTAAAACAAAAAAAATTTAAGCCGCAGCAAACATAAAATGCTTATAAACTAATTAAGTGGCACAAACATGCAAACATACATAGAGACGTATATATGTATGTATATCGGGTATATGGGAAGCAACATACGTTCGGAAGCAAATGAACATAAATATTTCACAGAGTATGTATGTTAGTACATAGGTATATATATACATATGTATTTGTGTATATTCATATGTATACACTTATGTGCATAGGTAAGCAGAGACATATGCAGTCAATAGAAGCGACACGCATTGCGTTGCAAGCACCGGCCCACCGCTGACAGCACATTGACCAACTACACCACTAACCGCATTGCCACCACATACACCGCATTTTCGAAACTTATATACATACATATAACTTATTTACGCAAAAAAGGAAATATGGTATATAAAAGTGGAAAAAAAACATAAAATGCCAACATTTTCAATAATTAATTATTTCATTTGCAGCGTGCGAAAAGTGGGCTGGGTCGATTGCTGTTGTTGAAGGCAGGCTAAGTGCCACACACACACATACATGAGGGCAAACATATGCGCTTTGCCAGCAACAAAGAAAGGGTGAAAGGCAGCAACGCCGTCGCCGTCACCACAGTGTTGCCACACTTATGAACAGACAATGTTATTGTTGCAAATATGTGTGAGTTAATGGTGCAAATGCGCTTAATAACAATTATCTCCACTGACACATAAAACAAAAGCGAGGTGAGTGGGCAACAACAACCACAACAAAAAAAGAGCGAGCATAGTAATAATAACGCTGCAGTCATATAAAACGAAGCAACGAAAACAAATGGCGGCAATACAATTAAAATGGCATGAAACGAAATTAATTGAACGTCAAAATGTTCGCAACGCAGCGCAAATGCACTTTAACCCTTGGCAAAACACATGCCACACATACTTGTACTATTGCGACTAAATCTTACTTAATTAGTGGTTATACCGAAAATTTGCGGTTTGACCTTTTTTCCCCCGAGTGTTTTGCATGTTTTGATATACTACACCTGTTTGTGTGTTTGTCTATTGCGTTTAATGAAATCAAATCTGTAACAAATTGCAAGCTGCGGCGACCATCCCGCCAAACTGAATAAAGTAAACTTTCTAATTATCTGGGTTTGTATGTCAGTTGCAAATGTGACGGACACATTTGCATATTTTTTTATTTCCAACTAATTATTTTGTGAATCAGATATGAAATACTTCAAAACAAAGCATTTGCTTTTGATATTCCGATCAACTGGCATCCATTCACAAAATTTTGCAAATGGCGAATCGAACAAGCAACTGTCACACATTAAATATACTCGCACATAGATTTTACAGCACTGAACAATAACTCTCAATAATTACTTACTATATTTGATCGCACCGAATCAATTCTTTGGTGGCGCAGTTGGTTTGAGACTCCAAAAAGCGTAACTTTAAAACAAAAGCTTAAATTTAAGTTTTTTATTTAAAACAAAAAACCCATTAACTTCGGTTACACCGTAGCTATAAATACAAATGATTTCTCAGAAGAACTAAATTTTGTTTGGTCAGTTTGTATGGCAGCAATATGCTATAGTGATTCTAACTAGACAAATTATTCGGAGATTGCATCATTGCCTTAGGCAATAATCCATGCCAAATTTCTTGAAGATATCACGTCAAACTAAAAAGTTTTTCATACAAGGCCATGGTTTTGATCGTTCAGTTTCTATTGCAGCTATAAGCTATAGTGGTCCGATATCGGTGGTGTAGACAAACGAGCAGCTTCGAAAGAAAAGGACGTGTGCAACATTTTAGATCGATATCTCAAAAATTTAGGAACCAGTTCGCATATATACAGACGGACATGACTAAATCGACTCAGCTCGCCATGCTGATCATTTATATATAATATGTACATATATATTATACTTTATAAGGTCCCCGACGTTTCTTTTTGGGTGTTACAAACATCGCGACAATCATAATGAGACCTTATATCGAACATCGTCGGAAATTAGTGCAAAAAGACGAAATATTAGCATATTATTTTTGTTTTTTTTTCAGAGAGAATAGCAAGAGTTTTACCTTAAATATTGAAAGTGCGTGCTAATTATTTAACAAAACGATACCCGATACTTATTCAAATTTAATTCAGAATAATTTTTTTTTTCATCTTTTCTTTCTTCATTTCTGCATGATAATTTCCAAAGCGGGAGTTTTAAAAATACATTTTTGAAAGTTATTGCTTGCCTGTTATTAAACCTATGCCCTGTTATACTTCCATAGACGTCTGAAGTAATTGAGTTTGCCCCACTTATTAGTCGTTAGAAAATATTTGGTCTAATTTTTATAGTTACATAGTTAGTCTTCTACAGTTATAGTTATGTAGTTTAGTCTTCGTTTTGAAAAGGAAAGGAAAGCACCTATATTCATAACAGGCTACGATATGCCAACCCAACAGTATTTCTCAAAATATGATTTAGAATATTTTCAGAAAAAAAGTCACCTTAATAAAAGTGTATAATTATATAACTTCCTGTGTGCCATAATTAGACTCGACAAAGAATTAAGAGGTGTCTTCATATAAATTTTACGGACTACCCACTGGCTATTAGTAGCGTTTATAGCAGAACTTTTTGTTCCATAATTGCTCAACTTCCGCTAATTTCTATGAGGAATGGCATTATTGTGGCTATTATGCAACGGCGATATTGAATTTAACGAAGCAGCAGTTGACTTAACAAAGGAATATCTTTGGTCCAATTTTCAAATATCGCAAATGCTTTGAGTTGATTTTTTGCTTGGAGAATGTTCGTCATTTACGCAATAGCTGAACCAAAGGAAGTTAATACTGAGCCCAATCGTTATTTGATAGCTGATAGCATTCACTGGTGATAACAATAGAACATTGGATCCTGTGGTTTAGGGACTTTTTGGCAATGATTTGAAAGAAAAACCAAAAACACGTTAACTTCGGCTGCACCGAAGCTATAACACCCTTCACAAATAAAAAAGTTTCCACATAAGAACTTGATTTTGATAGTTCAGTTTGTATGGTAGCAATGTGATATAGTGATCTGATCTGGAAATTTTTTTTAGATATTATAGCATTACCTTACTAAAACAGTTTTTCTTGCAACAATATAGGTATACAGATATATGCTTTAGTGATCCGATCTGAACACTTTCTTCGAAGATTATACCGTTGCTTTGGAAAATAATACATGCCAAATTTTTTTAAGGTATCATGCCAACTAAACAAGTTTTCGATACAAGGACTTGAGTGTGATCGGGCAATTTGTAAGACAGCTAGGGACAATATGAAGAGATGGGAGCAATGCTTCGGATGATACTCTATGCCAAATTTCGCAAAGATATCTCTTAAAATAAAAAAGGGTTCCATACAAGAACTTAATTTTGTTCAATTAGTTTGTATGACAGCCATATGCTATCGTCATGCTGATGATTATATTATATATAATATTTTATAGGATCTCCGACGTTACCTTCCGAAAACTTAGTCCACCTGCGTCCTGACTCTTTTATAAAAATAACATTGTTGACTAGCTTACATTAGTAATATGAATGGGACCGCCCTAATGTCATTATTTACATACTTGAGTATTATATGCACATACACAGGTACATGGTCGTATATACTTGTAGGTATGGCGGTATGTGGTGCTTGTTAAGCTTTTCGCGTAGTTTTTGCATGCATAGCTGCGCGCATGAAACGACAGATGAGTGACGACGACACCACTGAGCAACTGTTGCTGTTGTTGTTTTTGTTGTCGCTGTCATTTGTTTGCATTGCTACCTTAAATGGTATGAATTCTTAAGCATTTACTTGTGCAAAAAAAGAAACTACCAACACACACACCGCATACACCGCACAACACCTTCATGCCACAAGCTTCCGATTATGTATGTAAATATGAGAAATTAAAATTTGCGCAACGTGCTCGCTGCTTACAATTGCCACTTTTACTTGCTTATGGCTTATGCATAAAATAACAGCCAACAACAATCAGATAACACTAACAATGCGAGCGAGTACGACTATGCATGGTCACATAGACGTTGCCACCTTCAAAACAGTAATTCGCCTACTGAAATGGACAGCGGTTCCTCATTGTTGCTATTGTTGTTGCTGATGAAGTTAGCTGCGATGGCGTTGGTGACGTTGACGAGGGTGGATAGGTAAATGCTTGATCGGTTGGCCGATGGAATCACTCGTCCTTTGCGCAAATGCTACCATAATCGCTGCTGTTGTTGTTGTTAATAGTAATGTTTCTGTTGTTGTTGCTGCCGTTGGTGATTATCATTTTATGGTATGTAAACAAAAGATATGAAAATCGCACTGACAGCTGCGCGAGCTTTCGACGCCAATGAACACATGCAGTCGCAGCAACACACATACACACCTACACATACAAATGAACCGCTATCACAATTCATATTAACAGGTAACAATGAGAACAATGCTTTTTGCGCGCACATACACCTGCACCAGCAAATAAATGTGTTTATGAAGCGACTTTAATGAATATATGTTATAAGCACACACACACACACGGACAGACCCACATACACACGCACTAGCGCTTCGCTGCTGAAGGTGAAGTTGAAGTTGAAGGCGAAGTGCGCACAGAGTTTAGCCGCTGTCTATAATGTTGCATTCAGACAATATAATTGCATATTATGCTTGTACATTTACCCACACACACACATACACACATGCATATACAAATATTACATGGTAATAACGTAAGCTCAGGTGTGTGTGTGTGAGTGTGTGCAGACATAACATAGATAATTTACCTTTATTATGTTGGGTGGTTATTGGCTCTGACTGCCGTTGTCCTTTGCTTGCTTGCTGCGCCTGTTGTTGCTGCTGCTGCTGCTGCTCACTATTGGCTGTCTGTCCGTCCGAATTCCGAATGGCGACTCGCTTGTCGTGGTAATTAGCGCAGAAATGCGTATGAAATTATGCACAAATTAATGTTGATGGCTGCAAAAAGGTAATAAGAGCATGCATGTAGTTAGTGAAACGCTCAGTGACAAATGAAGTTATACATATGTAGTCGTATATGTACATACATACATGTATATGTTGGTATAAATATATATTTATTGGTATATATAGTGACTGCAAACTATTTCTACACTGATGAGAAATAATATGTTTAATTTATTTTAATATTAGTAATTTCGCAGAAATAGGTAGTAACCTTGTTCAATTATGTAATACATATATATATATATATTTTTTTTTGTGCTGTTATACCCAGAAGCTACTATAATATCCTTCACGAGTGCAATTCTATACCATAAAATCGTATAAAAAGACCTTTATTCTGATTTTTATCGATCAATTTGTATGAGAGCTATAAGCTATAGTGGTCCGATCTCAACAATATATACGAAAATTTTAGCGATGCCTTGGATAATAATCTGAGCCGAATTTCGTGAAAATAACTTATCAAATGAAAAAGTTTTTCACACAAGAACTTAATTTTGATCAATCAGTTTGTATGACAGCTATATGCTGTTGTCGTCCGATCTAAACAATTTCTTAGAAATTTGTAGCGCTACCTCGCAGAACAATCAAGGCCAAATTTTCTAAAGATATTACGTCAAATGAAAAAATTTTCCATACTAGAACTTTATTCCAAATAGGGACTAGTTCGTGGATATACAGACGGACAGACGGAAAAACGGACGGTCATGGCTAAATCGACAAGCTGATACGATGATCAGGCCTCCGACGTTTCATTCTGGGTATTACAAACTTCTTGACAAACTTAATATAACCCGTTCAGGGCATAACAAATAGTTTTTATAAGAGTTTTAACGCATATCCTGACCCACAAAATAGCTTTAGCGACCATCTTCGATTCACCCCTTACTCGCTATGTTCCCAATTGTAAATATATATAATAATATATGAAACAACAACAAAAAAAACATATCTAATTGACACATTGAAATTAATATGCTTAAAAACGAGAACGAAAAGCTTGATATCCATCCAAAATTTTTATATCAAAAGAAACGCAGAATCTCACTAATATTATATATTACAGCGATATGCTAAAGTTTATAAACTGAAAGAAATGTAATGCTGCAGACGCATAGAATTTTACGATTGTTCCAAGAAATGGATGGCCGGATCACGAACGGTCAGTTAAACCCATTGCAGATGAGAGAAGTTATAAACTATTTGATTATTGATTAAATGATCCGTTTTGAACGGCTCAAAAAAGTTCTAATCCACTTGTCTATACCCTCAATAATCCTCAAATAATTAAAAATGTTGTGTCAGAACTATGATGAGTATTGTTTTAACCCATTTAGATGGGCATAGCCCAGAAAGCAAAGCCAATGTCAATGGTTTCCTTTAAGTCGAGTTTATGAGTTATTTTAAGGCTTCGTTGAACTAGAAATTTTCTAACACCATTGAATTTTAAGTTACCGAATTGTATCAGTTGTAAACAAAGTATACACCAACATTATTTAGAATCAATATTTTGTTTAACGGTTCTGACGTATGACGTGCTCGAGATGAGGTTTTTTCATTGGTCAAAGTCAAACAAACGAGCTATTCATTAAGATTCAGTAAGTTACTTTCGTACCTAACTCTTAACCTTGGCCAATAAAGCTCACTTCTGATTGCCTTCCAACGTTTCCGATATATCCTTACGAACTTTGCTTCTGCTCATGAAACCGTTTAAACTTTGAACCGAAATCCTTCAATTAAAGCGAACTACGAAAGCGCTGCAATCAAACAGCTGACATAGATCCTTGATTACTCTTTAAAAGTTATAAGAAAAAAACTACCTGGTAACCTATCTATGGAAGACTGGTGAAGTTTCGTAAAGCTTCGTGATGATAATTGCAACAATTAAAATGCAATTTTATAAAAATTTATATGAAAGGACATTACATTTCATTAGATCTATATACTCGTATGTGTATTGTATATAGCAACTTTTTAAAGGAAGCTTTGAAACTCTAAATGAAATTACTTTTTGTTGTGGTTTCTTTATTTATTTTCCCAATTACTTATTTATTAATTTCTTTACAACATAAATCTTAGCAAACTGTGAAACCAATTTCAGACTGCTTACAATATTCACCGTCACTGTATATAATTACAGATGTGATTATTCGACAACATGCAGTAAATGATTATTTTCGAAATATGTGAATGTACGTATGTGTAGTATGTGCACAATTTAATGAAATTGCCAAATTGCATTAACTCGGACATAACTAGTGTGCAGTTTAACGCTCGATTGCCGTTGTTAATCCTTTTGATTAAGGCTGAAGACACAGTGGAGCGAAGAGCAAAATACAAAAAAAAAATATATAAAGTGTACGCTTACTCTTGAGAAGACTTTAATTTGTATTTAAATGCTTTCAACTGACAAAGCTAGGTAGTTAGGAACTCCAGAAAGGTGTTACAACTCTATAATGACATGTAGAGATCACGTTAAAATGGTACACATTTAAAAGATATGTTAATGGCGTTAAAATATAGACTCAATTACATACACATAAGCGCGTTGTGTGGTTGCTGTTATTATTGCTAAACTCCATTATTATGGGAAACTGGAATTGCGGATATGATTTGGCGGTTCCACTCTTTTAACTGAGGCCAATTAAAAAGCGATTAGTCACTTGATAGCTGACTACTAGTTGATTATATACTCGTGTTGCACAAACTAATCATGGTTTTACCAGAACATCATGAATTTACATGTTTTATAAACAATAATTAAATTGGATTAAGTCATTATTGTACCACACAGAGAAAGTAGTTATTTCTTTATGACAATTTCGCAATATTTTGCACTGGAATGTGATGATTTTAATCTTTTATAATAATTTATTATTTTCTATATCCACAACAGGATATACGAAGCTTGTCAAACCCAGAAGGAAATGGCGAATTCCCCCTCAATTTTTGAAATATCGGTATAAAATTTGGCGGAGGTCCTTTACTTCTCAAGTAAGTGTTCATTTGTCGGAACCACTATATCATATAGCTGGCATATAAACTAGAAGTATTTGTATGGAAAACTTTTTTATTTGACGAGATTTCTGCACGAAATTTGGCATGGATTATTGTCTTAAGCAAGATATAAACTCCGTAGAAATTGCACAGATCGGCCCAGTATGGCATGTAGCTGCCATACAAACTGAGCTATCAAAATCAAGTTCTTGTATGGAATTTTATGTATTTGTGAACGAGCTTCGGTGGAGCCGAAGTTGAAATTTTTTTCTGCTTTTTCGGTTTTTCTTTATCTTGAAATAGTTTGCTAAAAATGGTTAATATAGGTCCAGACCTTAACCAATCCCCCATAAACCAATAATATTATTTTCGTTATGCTGGGTTTCGTATACAATATAATCATTCAATATGTTAAAGATATTATCGAAAGTAAATACATATATTTTAAATAGTTTAAGGTCAGAAATGAACAAAAAAAAATTGTTGTTTACTGCGCCTGGGGGTAAAATCTGTAGATTATAAAGAAAGAACAAAATGAGCAAAACAGGACTCTGCCTTCGTTTAGGCCTCATATTACGTGTATGCCTGGTTTCCTTTGGTCGAAGTTAGACTTTATAGTGTATAACTATGCATATAAGTAAGCAAATCTAATAAAGCTATATACAAATATATATTCATTATAAATACATAACTACTGCTTTTAGAGGTAGCATTACAGAACAGCCAAATTTAGCACTTACTTTCTTTTATTGAACCCAAGAGAGCAGATAATTGTTAGTTATTTAGCTTCATACATTTGGTCTACCATTATTCGTTCTTGAATTTTTCAGCGAAATTTTAAACGTAGTAATATTTATTAGAAGAGATTATTGTAGAAATCTACTACATATTAAATCTCGATTATAGATTTTTTTTGGCTAATAAAATTATGGTAACTTTTTTCTAACTTAAATTATTAAAAAATTCGCATCCGGTACATTTCTCTAAACATAAAATCCACCATTCCAACTTTAAAACCTCCATGGCGAATTTTTCATATGTATGTACGATTGTATGTATTTTTCAATAAAGAATTATTTGAGTATTTTTGATATACAAAAATTAAATAATAAGTAAAGTACTCATATGGCATTATCCAACAAAAAGAAATATATGTATATACTTAGTTATACACAAAGGAGGAAATATAAATATCTAATGCAAACAATAGATAATACAAATAACGCCTCTTATATAATCAAACGAAAAACGTCCTTGTTGCTATCTTTAGTGGTGATATTTGCTCACCACCCCTATTTGTTGCGAGTACAAAAGGGCTTGCCACTTTGATACATGAGCGCAAATTTAAACCAAACAAAATGGAAATCAAGCAAGACTTTGCACCACGAACTCATACTTGCATGTATATGATTATATGTCTGTATGCATATGTGTGGTTCCATTTATATGCGTCCTTCCCCACTCTATCAATATTTATACAGCTGCCACGTAGTATATCATTATTCTTGGTTGATTTTATTTCACACAATTTTATCTTTCCAGAAAGCTCTTAATAATTTTTTTACCCAACGCATTTCTACGTGGAGACCGCGTAAAGCTTTAAAGGAAATATATACAGTTATAAAATGCTTTACCACTAGTTAAAATAAATACATATGCAAGGCAATCATCTCAGCTGACTGACTGACTGCTGGTGTTTTGTTTTATGACTTGACATCTGTCAAACTTCGGTGTAAACCAGAGTCAAATTGTCCAGCTGAATTATAGAGCAAAGCCACTCCGTTTTCGACTAGTGCAGAAGCATTTGAAAATGAAAGAAATTCATAGTAGGTTGAAATGCATTGGAGACAAATTTGGGAGTTCAACATTTTACAACTCGACTCAATTGAATTGAGGCAACTCAACTGTGAAACAAATAAACTCTTGTTAGACATTACGAATTGCAACCACTTATGCTAGATATATATTGTTTCGATGTTGTCAACCTAATGTAGTAACGATTTAACAGCTAATGAATGGGTCCCATATTGAAATTAAGCACAACTCTATGCAAGTTTAAAACTTCCTAAAATATATATATATTATTAGTGGCTCAAATCATTTCCACTGAATATTTGACGAAATTTGTCAGCAATAAATTGATGAATTATAATATAGTAGCTACAGCCATACTTCGCACGAGTTTATGAAAACAAGTGAAATAATCTTCTATGAAGACTGCTGACAAATTGTTTTGATGAGAGTTGTAAAGCAATGACAACTCAACTTAAATTTTTTCAGTAAGTTGTGTTGTAAAAGGTGGTATGAAATTGTGAAATTTGAGTAAAAAATATGAAGAAAACAGCAGTTCGGAATGCTATAGGACAGAGAGTCGTAGTTAGCTCTCTTTAACATACGTATAATATTAAAAGTAAACTTAAAACTTAAAGTTGATTCGTATATATATTCATAACTTGAACAGTGTCTCCGTACAACCCAACCGAACAAAATCAAGTGCTTGTATGGTAAACTTTTTCATTTGACGAGATATCTTCAAGAAATTGGGATGGATTATTGTGTAAGCTAACAGCACAATCTTCGAAGAAATTGCTCAGAGCGGACCACTACGAAATACAAACGGACCGTTCAAAATCAAGTTCTTGTATGGAACCATTGTATTTGTGAAAGGTATTATAGTTTCGGTGCAACTGAAGTTAACGACTTTTCTTGTTTTTAACTTATAATAACCATATTTACTTTCAGCTCGTTCTTTTGCTGCCTACCGTCCACTTCAATACGAGATTTTATGAAAGATTGCCTTGTCAGAAATGCTCTCGAAGTTTTAAAAAAAGTCCACCAAGAGTCGAGTGCTTAGAATTTTTTTCATGTTTCGATAACGATCTACTTCAATGTGGCAGAAATTCTCCATCAACGTAATCATCATACTCATCATTAGGGGCTACCGAATAAATGATTTTTGTTTTGTTTTTCTTATTTGACTTGAAAGTTACGCTGCAAGAATTATTCAGTTGCAGTAAATTAATTCTTTAGCATGGAACTTGCACTCCATAACCGCACAAACTTTCAATATTCCAACAAATTGACTATGAATTTTATAATTCTTGGCATAAACGATTATCCGAAACGTTTAATATTTTATTCCCATCGTAAATTTGTATTAACTTTTTCGCCTGCGCGGATGAAAAAATTACTTTTTCGCACTCGAAGCCACCGAAGTGATGAAAGGAAGTATTTTTAATCCAATATTATGAAAAAAGCTCTGAGAAGAATTCCACATTAATGCATATTTATGCCAATACATATATACTTGTATATATATGTAAGTCTGTTTGTGAGCGCGTAAGTATGTCTTAATGCCAAGTGCATACACAAAATTGAGTTTTAACTTAAACTTTCGGCTTTTTCGCATTTACTGCGCGCTTCTTTTCTACTCTACTCCCTTCTACATCTATGGTATTTATTTTCCGTCACTCTTGCCTTTCATCTTTAATTTGCGCTCGCAACCGATTGCAGTTATTACAAGGCGGCTTATCGGAGTCGGCAACATTGTGGTAGTGACTTTGCATGCAATAATCCTGTGTGTCCGTGTGCACACACACACACGGAAGCATACGTCGTACGTATATGTATATGTGTGTGCATACTTAACGATCTATGTGTGTATGCGTGCGTACGTTGTTGTTGCAGTTGTTCTTGTTGCGCGCTTTATTATTCTTCTTGTGTAAATTTTTTAATTGACATCATCTTTTAATATCCAATAAAAACTTGAGCCTGCAACGAGGCCGCACCTCAACAGCAGCTGATATGCACCGCCCGTTCCGCCCACACGCGCCACCTTCCAGCATTCATGCCCGCCAGCTGTAATAACAACAATAATACCATGCCTTGACGTGCCATGCCAATCGCCATTTACGCTGATCTTACGCTGCGGCAATTGCCGTTGCTTGTTGCAACGGCAACAGCAACAGCAGCGGCAGCAATCGGCTGTTTTCTTTTTGCCGCTGTCGATATTTCTTTTTCGTATTATTATTATATTTTATGTTTGCTGGATTTCGTATTTTTGTTTGGTTGTTCTGGTTGCTGTTGTTGTTGGCCAACTTAAGCTACAGTGCTCGCTGGCAGTTGGTGTATCGCGCCTCAGGCAAATTAACTTTGCACGCGTTGAATCTCCTTTCGCAAGCGGAAAAAACGCTTCCCCTTCTCGGAACATCATAAATAATTGCAAAAGAATACCGATGGCTAGAGCGCGCTGCCTTTATATAGAGGTGAGCGCTGCCGTGTGGGTGCCTGTGTGTTGCTGCTGTTGGTGCCCGGATTCGACTTGTCCGCATATGTGTGTGTGTGTGTGGTTGTGAGTGCGCGCTGGCGAAAAAACGCGGAAATGCGATTAAAATGCGCACCACAGAAAGAAATGCAATTTCACAGGCACACCGATTGATGCCCGGATCCACTGGTATTCGCATTCGCACACGCTACGACGGTCAGTTGAGTTGGTCAATTCAGTCAGTGGCTCGCATGTGACTTTGAAATCTTTGGACGACATATGCGCACGAACAAAAAACCGACTCCGACATACGGTGGCAGGTTTTTTAAGCGGCACTTGATAAAAAATGACTAGGTGCTCATACAACCATACATATATACCTACATACATACATACATACGTGTGTGTATCCGTATGGAATTGAATTAAATATAACTTAAGTAAGCGACGCTCTCAACACGTCTTGCACAGTAAGTTTTTTACTTGACTGCAACCCTGCTTTTGGTAGACTGGCTTGTGAACAGTAGACATCATCCGTTCGCTGGGGGATCAGTTTAAATATAAATTCTTTTAGAGGTAATGTATATCAAAGAACGAGTTTCGATAGTATTTCGATCAGTTTGTAAAGACTTTTAGTAGAGGAATGTTGCAATTAATAAAACCGTATATTAGTTTTCCTGGTGCCCAGGAAAGCCCACCAGCTGCGGAAAGCACATTTAAGCCTATTTGAAAAGAAATGATTGTGAAATTATTGTAAGAGCGTAAAGATCGGAGTATTTTCCTCACTCATGAAGGTTTTTCCAAGATCCTTGCTGCATAGATGTCACGTCAAGTTCTACTCAGCTGCCACACCATTCAAGAAGTATTCCGAAGTATAAGAATCGCGTCAATGATCCGATTAATTTTCATTAATATGTTTTAGTCGTCATTAGGGAAGAAACATATTTTCTCTCGAGTTTTTTAATAATCGGAATTCAGTAATCGCTCGTCCTGTAAATCAGATTATTGGATTCGGACAGCTATTGCAAATCACGGTAATCGAATAATGTCGAAAATTGTAAGTAAGGTAGCATTGGTACGAAATAACTTCTACGGCTACCAATGATATGTGTTTAATTGGGAGACAGTCGGGCGCACATTGAGTCTGGTTTAATTGTGGTCGCTTGTAGTCCGACAGTTTTCGATCTCTGCTTTCAAGCAACAAAACATAAAATTTGTTAATGTTTCATTCTCAAGAAACTCTAACTTGATTATTATTATTTCCTACCTTTTCACCATAAACATCTTACGTTGAGTTTACACATTTTTTATTATTATTTTATTGTAAGGTAGCCCAAACCTTTCTTGCTTCAAGTAAAGTCGATAGAATGAAACGCAATTGTCTTACGTAACAAATTTAATCACGCTCATAGGATACTGAGCGGCAACACTGTGAAGGTTCAACCGATTTGTATATTTTTTTCTGTTTAGTAAAATCCGTAAGAGGTACAAAACAAAAATATTGTAAAGTTTTCGCATATTTGAAAATTGTAAGCCAAGAAACTTTTAGGAGGAGGAATATTTGGTTTAGTTGAAAATATTTATTGAGAAGGGTTGCCACCTGTTTCAATATTTTAATTTAATAAAATTGCCAAATTAACGAAACAATATATGGGTTACCACCTGTTTGAAAAGGTTGACTAAGGAAAAATAAAATAACTATAGAATGTAGCTGCCATGCAAACTGCACAATCAGAATCAAGTACTTGTATGGAAAGCTATTTCATTTGATGAGATATTTTCACCCATCTTGTCATGGGTTATTGCTTAAAGCAATGGTGCAAAGTCCGAACTTATGATGATTGTTTAGATCGGATTACTATAGCAAAGGGAGGGTCAGAAAATTGTCGACCGCATCATCATTGTCACAGCTACTATACTATAGCACATAGCTATCATACAAACTGGCCGATCACATTTTTTGTGAGGAATCTTTTTCATTTGTGAAAGTTCAGTGCAGCCGAAGTTATCGTTTTTTCTTGTTTTATGTTCAGGTAGGATGTATTTTTGCTCGGGTTAGATATAAAAGTGATTTTAAACTTCTGGTATACTAAAGCTTTAGTTGTCAAGTATTTTTTGATGCTCACTTACCAAAAAAAAACAACACAGTTAATATTGATTTGAATTATGAAAACATTTCAAAACCGATTCCCAATCAAAGTTAATTGATTCAAGTGTACTAAAAATATACCACTAATTGTAAAATGATTTATCTTCCCAAGTTTTTATTCTAAATTATCATGTTTTAATACTACTATTTAAGTGCATAGGACTTTATCGATGCTTACAGAAATGTTGTCACATTTATTTTTTAAATTCAACTAATATTTTACGGAATTATTTAAAATTAAAAACTAAAATTAAATATTAAAATTTATTTAATTTTTTGTTAATATTTTTTATTCATTGATATTTTTAATTTGTTAATATTCATTGTCTATATATTAAAAAATTATAAATAAAGTTTTTAAAATAAATAATAATAATAAGAAATTTTTGATAATAATATGTTATATATAAAATTTTAACTTTTAGTAAAAAAAATTATATTAATAAAAATTTAACTTTTATAATAAAAAAAATTTATAATTTTAAATGATGATATTAGTTTTAAAATTATAAAATATTTTTTAAGATAAATAATTTTATTAAAGAAAAAATATCAAAAAAATGTTACAAATAAAATTAAAATTTTTAACATATATTACTTTTTATACTCTCGCAACTTGAGTATAATAGTTTTGTTCACCTAACGGTTGTTTGTATCACCTAAAACTAATTGAGTTAGGTATAGAGTTATATATATATATATATAAATGATCAGGATGAAGAGACGCGTTGAAATGCGAATATGAAGCTTGGTACGCATGTTTCTTGGTACCGTAAGACGGATGGTATTGCAGATGGGAACCACGTTCACAATTAGATAGTGAGCGTGGCACCGCCCACTTTTAGGTGAATTCGGTACATAACATTCTTCTCATATTTCTATGTTACAGGGCGAAATCGGATTACAACCACGTCTATTTCCTATATAACACCATTTTAAATTCTAATTTTTTCAATTTCCAGTATGCAAATCAAGCCACAATGTTTATACGAGTATCGGCGTTGCGTGAATAATACGTTTAACCCTTATATTAGTAACCGGGTATCCGGGTTTTTAAGTTAAAAGAAAGCTATTTGTGAGTTCATTTTTTTATTTTTTTTTATTCTACGTTGTTATTTTATTTTATTTTTGCTTTAAATTGTCAGTGACTATTAATATTTGAAGAAAAAAATGTTTAATAAAAAATAAACCAAATAATAATAATACTCAGATCGTGCCCCGGTACCCGGTTGCTAAAAAACGTCGGTAAAGTTGGGTAAGTATGCCACCTTGTGACCAAAAACCCCTAATATTTTTAAAATAAATAATTTAACAAAGAAAAATTTTCAGGAAAATTTCACAAATCAAATTTTTAATAAATAATAATTTTTTTAAACTATATTATAAATTTATACTTTTATTATTTTTTATTGACATATCCAAATGTAAAATAAATAATATTTATAAAAAAAACTATCCAAAAGAAGTTCTCCAGCTTGGAGGTCAAGAAAGAATGTGAAGCGTACTCCGGTGAGGGCATTCTGTATTGATCTGAACAAGTGGTAATCCGGTGAGGGCATTCTGTATTGATCTGAACAAGTGGTAATCGGAAGGTGCTATGTCTGGGCTATAAGGCGGATGAGGTAGAACTTCCCACCCACAGTTTTCCAAATAGTTTTTAACTGGCCTTGCAACATGTGGCCGTGTCATTATGAAAAATTATTGATTCGTGTATGGTCGCATATTCTGGTCGTTTTTCCGCGATAGCCTTTTTCAAACGAATCAATTGTTTTTGGTAGAGGTCCCCATTGATCGTCTGACCCGATTTCATTAGCTCATAATAGAGCACACCCTTGTGGTCCCACCAAATACATAGCGTAACCTTGGCACCATGGATATTCGGCTTTGCCGTGGATGTCGATGGTTGGCCGGGCTTCACATACGATCTCTTGCGCTTTGGGTTATCATAATGAATCAATTTTTCATCGCCAGTGACAATCCGATGCTAAAATGACTTCTTTTGGTGGAGTTGAAGCAACAGTTCCGACATGCAGAATCGACGTTCGACGTCTCTTGGCTTTAATTCATAAGGCACCCAATTTCCAAGCTTCTGGATGAATCCTAATGATTTTAATCGTCTAGAAACGGTTGCTTGATCAACTCTTAATACTTTTGCAAGTTCTTCTTGCGTCTGGCATGCATCTGCGTCGAGCAATGTCTCCAATTCTTCGTCGTGAGATTTTTGGCTGTCCGGGTCGTTCTCCGTCGTCTTAGTCGAAATTGCCACTTTTAAAGCGTGCAAACCACTTTTGGCACGTTCATTCGGCTAAAGCATGGTGACCATAAATGTTCAGTAAAATACGATGGCTTTCGGTAGCACTTTTTTTCGTGTTAAAGTAATGAAGAAGAACACCTCGCAAAACACTTTATCTGGTACAATTTTCGACATTTTCAAATGAATGAAACAAATTGTTGTTCATGCTAAAAATAATGACATCTATTGAAAACGACGCGATATGACAGTAGCTTTAATATGAATATAGCCACAGATGAACACGACGCGAAATAATACTAGTAGAGCCCTCTCTTAGAAAACTGCACGAATTAATGCATACACATTTAAAAAAAAAATTAAGCTTCTTTAATTTAATATTATTAATAAGTTTAAAAAAAAAAAAATTGTCATAATAATGTTAAAAATAAAATTATAATTTTTAATAAATAAGACTTATTTTAGTTAATATTAATTTATTTTATTACTTTTTTTATTATGAATAACTTAATCTGTTTTAATTTTGTATTAACTTATTTAAAATGTATTTTTAAAATAGGTCAATCTTTTTTTTCTAATTTCATTTTATTTATGTTCATTTTTTATGTATAAAAAATTTATAATAAAGATAATAAATAATATGTATAATTTTATTTTATTATATTTTTTTTTGTATTAATATTAATATATTTTTTTATTATTTTTTATAATTTTTTCCAAAATGCATTTTGGAAGAATTAAAATTAAATTTTTTTTATTATTCTTTATTTATTTGTATTCTTTATTAAAAATGTATGAAGAACAAATAATAATTTTTTAAAATTTATCAATTTCTTACCACTGTGCGCCATGGCTTGAAAAGGCAAGCAAAATTTTTGCTAAACGGATTACATGAGAATCAAACGCAACTGCCAACATGCTGACGCACAACGCTACCGAATGCAGCAGCTAACCATGCAAACACGCCGAAGCACACACAAGCTACATCTATACTGTATACTATACATATGTATGTATAGTAATTTTAGTGTGCGTCGCAAAGGCCACAGAAGCGGCAAATTGGAGTACACAGGCGGAAAAAATGATAACCCACCGATGTTGCCGTAAAAATTATATATTTCTACAAGTCAAACGGAATTTTTTAATAAAATGAAAAACTCAAAAAACGAAAAGAACAAACGGCACGTGTGTATGTGTGTGTGTGTGTGTTTGCTAGCAACTCATGCGGCACTCTGCAACGCTGCGGGGCAAATAAAAATGCTCCTGGCAAATGGTGCAGCATAAATATTTGCGTTGCGCTGCTCGGCAACGGATTAGTGTGTGAATTTTTAAAAATTCCATCATTTCAATGGGCGATTCTAGTTTTCTCACAGTGCACCGACAGCCGTGTGGCAAGCGGGTTTTTTAAGCCAACAGAGCGTACATACAAACTATTTTTTGTAGAAACAGCATTTCACATGTGTACATATGCGTATATGTGTGCGTGTGTTCGTAAGCCACATGTGCCCCGGTGATGAATGCCACTGACCAAAGTGACCGTTGACTGGCTGTGTCATTGCTGTTGATTTTTTGATTTCTGCTGTTGCAACTATTTGAGCCATTTCAGTTTTTTGCAGTTAATGCCACCACTGCTCTTCCATTGTTGTTGTTGTTGTTCATCGCCAATGCTCTCTAACAAAGCAGCGTGCAGTTAACTTCTGACCAAAGCGGCCAAAGCTGTGTGCTCCGCAGAAGGGGGGAGGAAAGTAAAAAAGTCAATGCGATGATGATGGACTTTCGACTTATTCATGCATCAAACAACAGCAGCAACAACAACAACAGCAATACAATTGCAACTGCAGTCAATAGCATAGCAGACATCCATCAGTGGCAGCAGCAACGGCGATACCCAAAATAGTTGCAACACTACGAAATGTGCCACGCAACGCAACAGTCCAATAAGCGACAACGGACTGTCTTAGCTGCAGCATAGTATTTGTTGACGTTACTGTTATTGCCGCTGCTGTTGTTATTTGTATTGTTGCATGGCATATGAGTACAAGTATGTTACGTGCATCAATAACGCAGTTCGCAAGTTCAAATGTTGCTGTGGTTTGCTGGCACAGTCGCCAGCGTTGCTTGCTGTCCCGCTGCTGTTGTTGTTGTATTGTTCCGTTGCACAATTTTGTTGCTACCACATCGATGGGTGGTGTTGTTGCTATTGTAGTATTGTTGTTGTTGCTGCTGCACCAACAGCTTATTGGTTCGGCGTAAACCCACAAAGCACGCTTGTCAGCGCGTTGTATTTATCCGCTCTTCTTCGTGTTCTTGCCACGCT